GGAGTATCTCAAAACCTGATCTTATCTTTCCACGTTGCATTAAACATGAACATGACTTATTCATGTCAGTGTTGGGCAATGTGGTTTCTTTCTATGTGTGATATGAAAGAAAAATGTTCTCAGGCTGGAACTGGACAACAAACAGTTTCAGATTAATTTTGAAACACAATGTGTGCCCATAGAAAAATAATTAAGAATTATGAGTCCTTACATGGATTATTTTGTGTGAGAAAAACACAATGTAAGCTGCGTACATAGATCTCATTTAATCAGTACAGATAAGAAGCACAGTATGACAGCCTGATTCAAATACATATACAGAGTCTGCCTCAGAAATGGTTGTGTTAGTATTTCAGATAAGTGCATTAAAATTTGACACAGATACAATGAGAAGGTCAACATCAAGAAAACCGAAGGAAACATACTTTCATTTCATGTCAAAAACAAAGAACAGTTCAGGTAGAACATTTAAAGACTATGTAAGCTGTCTCACTGTCTCCTGTGTAGTGGCCAGTGTTGGACAAGTTACTTTGAAAAAGTAATTAATTATAGTTACTAGTTACTTCTTCAAAAAAGTAACTGAGTTAGTAATTGAGTTACAAGACTCTAAAAGTAATTAATTACTTGAAAAGTAACTATTGCGTTACTTAAAAAACTTTTTTTTAACCCTCTGGGGTCCAGGGTATAATAGGCCATTTTTCACTACTTTTGATTTTCCCTCCACATTTCACTGTTAAAAACTATTTACTTTGCTTTGTTTGGTATCATCCTTTTCAGCACAATCTCACGTGTCTGAATTTATAGTTATGTTTTCATTTTGACATACTGTATTAACACAATTGATCTAAAATTAGACAAAAAGTATAAAATTTGAGTAGAAAAAGTTATATTTTATGCTGTAACAACCACAAACATGTTTAATGAATTATATTTCATAACTTTAAATGCAAATATAAATTGCCAATTTTAAAATCATATGCACAGGTTTTGCAAACAAAGTTATTTGCAGCCATTTACCTTTTACCCTTTTTTAAATAATCATTTCAAACTATTTACAGAACAATCAGCTGTTCTGCATTCAATAAGATGCCACAAAAATTATTTGTGCCACTCCAAAAAAATAATTTCTGTCCACTATAAAGGAGAACATCACAGCCTGACACCTGCAGACAGCAGTCGCCTCATTGTTTTGACACACAACACAAAACTATCCACAACACTACACACTAACTACACAAGACAACACATTAACTACACACTCCAAACATGCTAAACCTCACAAATCTCTCACATCTCAAAACTCGCTCTCTCTCTCTTTCTGCTCTCTCTCACACTCTCTCTTGCCGTCACTCCTAAAACTTCCCCCTCTTCCTAAACAACCAAATGTCATGTTGCCATATTATTTTTTGATTGGTCAACATGGTGCATTTTTCCACCAACACGAAAGGGCTGGGGAGGGGGGTTTGCTCATAAGCAGAGAGTGCTTGCTAGCGCTGTCCTTAGACAGTAAACGTGATGAAACTATTGAGGAAAACACGGGTATATATTGTTTATCATGACTCTGGTTTTACGTGGCCTATCAACACAATTTAAAAACTGGTATATATCACCTTGTTGCTTTGTCATCTTGAAGTGATTGGCTTACCACGACTACTTTATTGTTCCTCAGCCAAACAGCAGCACTCAAGCGATTGTTTTGCCCCCTTAGCTCTGGGTGTTGTGCTAGAAAGTGATTGTCTGGCAGAAAGTGATTTCCATCCGCGGGAGCGCGCACAGCTTAAAGTTGTAGCGCCCAGATTACATACGTAGTCAGTTACTTCCGTGCAACTGATATAAGGTGCGTAAACTGAACACAGCTTCAACCGTCTGTTTCTTGAAAAATAGTAACACGACCGCATTTTCTTGGTAGTAACGGTAACGGCGTTGTAACGATAGGAATAATAATTAGTTAGATTACTCGTTACTGAAAAAAAGTAACGCCGTTTCTTGTAACGCTGTAATTCCCATCACTGGTAGTGGCAGGTCTAACCTGACATGTAAGATGTGGAAAAGCATAGATTGCAAAACCTGTATAATGAATAAAATGTTATTGGCATTTATTTCTTTTGTTTTTCTGTGTGAGTCCTAAATCATTGCCACAATAATGGGGACTAAAACTTGGAACAGGATGTGAATAAAAACATCAACATGGTCTAGAGCAGATACACCAATTCTTACTGGAATTGAAGCATATTTATGCTCCCTTAGTCACAAGACTTTGCCACAGTGGATAGCTTTGCATTTGATTGTATTTTACACTGGATGCTCTTCCAGAACTCGAGGGATAAAGCCAGAGATCTTTTCAGTTTTTAGTGAATGTGAAAACTACGCTTCAGTGAAACATAAATGTACTTTTCCATCTCTTATTCCCAGGAAAATAAGTATGGTTCACAGTCCAGAATGGATTCTTACTGAATGCCAAATGAAAATCAGTACACTGAGCTCTTTCAGGGTTGGACTAACTCTCTAAGCAGTGGAAAGTGAACCCACCCCAACTTTCAATCCATACGCAGTTTCAGCACAGACACCTTTTTGATGATTCAAGAGACAAAACATAAACCAAAGAAATTACTAAATAGTCTGACATCATACAATATTAAGCAATTTTATTGCATAATCAGTGTTACATGTTTCAGTTCCGTCTTTCTCATGCACAACTACATTCAACCATGAAAGTAAACTGCATGCCAAGACCTGACCTGAAAAGCATTCCCAGGGTGTTCAAGGTTTTCATTTATTTAGTTCGTCATCGGCTTAAGTTTCATGGAGGTGGTGTGGAAGGTGTGCGCACAAAATAGTATAATTACTGTAGAATAGCCATTAGTCAAATTAAAGGGACGTGCCACTGTCATGTCACCTGATTTTATGAAGTCCCAATTTTGAAGCCTTGCCCAGAAAAACACAGTTATCTTAGCTTTCTGAAACTAGGCTTAATAACCAATCTCTCAGTTGCATATCACTAAAATTCATACTCCTTTTAGACTCTAATTAGAATCATCATTTAGAAAATGAACAATCTGTTGTATTCAATTAGAGATGGAACTAGCGAAAAAAAAACCTGGATCAGCATGTTGCCTTATCCAGACTTATTATTTACACAAATTAGATAGCACTATAAAATACACTTAGGATATTCAGAAACGCGCTAATAATTCAAAGGAAACAGAATGTAATGCACTGCAGCATCATATTATCCTATGTGTGTGTTTGTGTGGGTGGCTTTTTGAACAGGGAGGAAATGGTTCATCTAGTTTGTGTAATGTAAACTGGGTGACCTGGGGCTGGGTGTGACAGCCGGTTTAAAATAAATCAGGGCTCAACCACCTGTCAGTGTGGTGCTGAGTCCCAGCCAGAGAGCTTCTCATTGTACCTGAACTGCTGTGGAAAGTCTAGAAAGATGACATCGGAGACCAAACAGTCAAGTAAGTACATTAACTTTTAGACATATATTAACTGAAGTTTATCATCATATCTTTAAGGACTTAATGTACTCTAATTTAAATTAAATTGTTTAATTTAAATAATAACAGTTAAATAGTCTTGTCAAAAGCAGGATTGCATTTGACAAGAGTTTTAGAAAAGTTTGCACCTATTTCAAAGTTTTTATAGAGTTAAAATAAAATTGTGTTATACACTTAGCTTGCATGACCTCAGTTCTCCCAGTTTCTAGAAATCTTACTTGCAGGTGCTGGCAAATAGAAATGAATGCCTTACAACAACAGTCTTCAGAAAGTACATGCCAGAGAATGTTGTGTGAAAAGCTCACATTGACACATTAAACAGGATTTTTGCAGTTTATTCTCTTTACATACACGACAACATGTCTGTGGTCATCATGGGTCAACCTGGAAATTCAAATATATGTTTTGCAAGTTGAAGTTAATCCAAAGTTTCAGATTCAGGCCAGTTTGGCAGAAAATTTAGTTCAGGAAATCTGGAACACCTTCTAAATTTGATCGATGCCCCCATAATCAGTTCGAGTTTCGTACTCAAGTGCCCATTACATCGACGTAAGAGCAGTTGTTTTTGAATCATATATTAGATTGTTGTGGTTATCTTTGTTTTTTTTTATTCGGAAGGCATCTATAAATAATCATAAATATCAAAATATTAGTGCGCGTGATGTTTTGCCTCCCATCCAGGACCACCTCCAATATGTGACACCCTCCATCAGATTGTTTTAGAACTATCAAAAGATAAACACATCGTCTTTGTGGGTTTCAATTGTGCAGTGCAGACAGATGTAAGGCAACTGAGATTCTAGAAGGAACAAAGTAACATTTAGCAGCTCTGGAAACTGAATTAAAGATCTAAAATTTTAAGATATCAATGAGACTGTGTTAGAAATATAAATATGAACTTATGCAAACTTGTAGGCACTGCAAAAAAAATGTATGTGAAAATATTTAGAAAGCGTTCACAGACTGACTTTAATGTCACAGACAGCCAAAACTTTCTATAGATATTAAGGAGAGGTCCCTTAAATGCATTCCCTCTCTCAGGTGTTTCAGTGTGTATTTCAGGCCAACCTTCATGTATGTTTAGTAAAAAAAAAATGTGTATAAATTTCTCTACCCAAGGGGAGAACTCTACATGCTGTAGATTTATAAGTTTAATAAATCTAAAGAAAGTTTATAGTTTTGGGGGTTTTTTCTTACTGTACACCCTTGTTAAAAATGTGAGTAATAGTGACAAAATGTAGACAGTTAACTACAATATGAAAGCAGGTGTGTGCATTTTTCCCTCCCTCACACACACCCAAACCAAACTCACCCACCACGGAATCTAAAAAACGTCATCTCTCCTAACAAAAAGTTATAAATTCGCAGTTTTTTTCAATTCAAACACACTGAGAACCTGTTAAATCATGTTTCCTAACATTAAAATTAAAAGTTTGACTGTGAAAAGTACTTCTCATATCAATATTGAAAAAGACAAAGTGTTAAGATAGTCTCTCCAAACCTCACTATTTTGTGCTTAAGTGTTTTTATGAATTGTGTCTCAGTTTTCCATGTTACTTGTCAGTGCAGTGCTTTTCTATGGATTCACCTGTTCTCCTGAAAATACCTGTAGGCCTTAAATGTGAGGTTTGTGTTTTGTTTTGTTTTTATTACCATGCTGTTGGGGTTTGGTCGAGACACGAACATTGTGTTCATCACTGATTCTGCCCTGTTGAGGCATGCCCAATCCATGCATATTTTTCCTGACATGTAACTTCAACTTTGTGACGTTTGGATGACTCTCATGACAGTGTTTAAATAGTTTTATCTCCACCCTGCCGTGCCCTGGGTTCCTGTCACCAAATTGCTAAATAGAATTGAGACTTTTGACAAGCTGAGGCAGTTTTTTGAGGTGAATCGAGGTCACTAAAATCTTCATCTATTTTAGCATGGAGAAGGTATCGGTGTAGCAAGCTTAAAGCCTTTTGCATCCTTCAGTTGCAAATGTTTCCAGGAAACCAAGTTAAAATGTATCAGGAGACGACAGATATGGGTCTTTTTCTTTTCTTTTTTGTTTGTTTGTTTTTTAAAGTGTCATGCCATTAAAAATAAGTTTATTAAAATAAAGACTTCACTTTGTGACCTGACTTTCAGATATTTTTGTTCACAGTTAACATTTCTATATTTTATTTTACATTTCTTGCAGTTTTTAAAGGAGTGAATCTCAACTGTGAGACAAACAACACAGAACATGGCACCAAAAAAATCTCAAAGGATCAGCTGATTGTGAGGCGAGGCCAGCGGTTCACCGTGAAAGTTGAACTGACACAGCCGTTCAACCCCAATCTTTACCCGCTCACCTTTACAGCAGTAACAGGTTGGTCCAGCATTAAATAATGTTTTTTTGTTTGTTTTTTTGTAAAAAATGCAAACATATTGTATGTAAACCCTCCCAAGTTAAATCCTTATAATAAAAAATATGTCTAAAGTGTACAGAAGATGCTGTTTGATGGGCACTGAACAAACATTTACTGACCCAAAGCTGTTGACTAGGGCTGTCACCGTTAATCACCGTTAATTAACGCCAACACCGCGTTAACTCGGCATATCTCCGTTAACGGGTTAATGCGGATCACCCTTTGTGTTGGGCTGGACTGCGTCAACGGGTTAGCGCGGGTAGCTTGATTAACGTATTAGCGCAGTGTTGGCGAGTAACGGAATACATGTACAAGCGTTGCGTATTTAAAATACAAAATATGAGTAACTGTATTCTGTTACAGTTACCGTTTAAAAAGGTAGTGTTACTCTGTTGAAATAAATGGATTACACGGCGGTCTTTTCCTGTTTCATATGTTAGGCTATGCCCTCTCTGTCCTTGGTAATTCCACGCCAGTGGAAACCCAAACAAAACACGCATTAAAAGGCTCTAATGTCTGTGTCTCAATCTCGCGGCCCATGTCACCTCCACTTGCTATCCGCATAATGATGTGACGAAATATTTTTTTTAATTATTGTTCAAAAATTATTTAATATGAAGGCAATAGGCACAGTGTTACAGGCATAGCCCTAAACAATGTAGCTTCATGGGCAGTATTGGCCAGTTGTAAGTAAGCTATTAAGACTCTACTCTACACTGTGTTCGTGTTTTCCTCCGAAACAACAAGTTCCGTTGGAGCAGCCTTTCAACGCCTCTCTCTGTCTCTCGCTAGCAAAGTCGACCCAGACAACAAAGTAAAGCTAGTTTTCGGCTATGAACTCGACACGGAACCTGACGTATTAGCCAGAGGACCTGTTTTATATACACGAAAAACAGTTTTCTCTACGAGATCGTTGCAAAAAGCGCAGCCTTACCTAATGTCCACCCTACTGTTACTCATTTTATATTAAGATTTAAAAATCTAGTTGCTATTGGTATGGCGAGTAGCCTTCAGTAATAGTAATACATCACACAGCAATAGTACATTCTTGTAGTTGTAAAAAGCATGATAATATATTAAGAAATCCAAAGTATTCAGAATACGTTAGTCTCATTGAGTAATGTAACGGAATACGTTACAAAATACATTTTGGGGCATGTATTCTGTAATCTGTAGTGGAATACATTTTAATAGTAACTTTCCCAACACTGGCAGCCCCACACAGAGGGTGATCCGCGTTAACTCGTTAATGGGGATATGCTGTGTTAATGTGGATTTGGCGTTAACGTCATTTTAACGCGATTAACGCTGACAGCCCTAGTTGGGACTCAAAGCAAAAACCTCCAAGCCCATTGAAGGCACCCTTTTTGAGCTTTGGAAAGGTTTTGATCCAGGAGAAAGTCAGTCTGAGGAATTGATAGCTGCAAACTGTGCATGTTTGGTTTATATAATTTGAATTTATATTTTTTAAATTTAAATATTTAGTTTGCAGTTGTGACACTTTATAGTAAATAAAAGAGATGTTTGAATATTGATTTCCATGTATCAACAGGAGTTTGTTTATGTTTGCTTACTTTTGTTTTCTTGGTTTTTTTGTTGCTGTTATTTTTATTATTGACATTAACATTTTTGAAAGATCTGTATGGATACATATGAAGAATTTTGTGAAAATCAATACAAAATATAAATTTAAATAATAAATAACAGCTACATGTGGTTAACTGTAGTTTAAAAAGAGGACCCAAACACAGGAACCAGAATCAGGTATTTCCAACAAAAAGCAGGTTTTACTAATGAGCTGATGGAATTAAAAAAAAAACAACTAATTGGGCAATCAGGAGAAATAATATCAGGTGAAACCCATGAGGGTGTGGCAAAAATTGAAAGGGTGAGGAAAAAGCCAGACATGACACATAAGTGAAAGGCTAAATAAACTAAGCTTTACTTAAAGGTGTTTTGCCAGTTAGCACAGTTGGATATGACCACTGTTTGTCTTTTAAACTATCTTTCAGCCTTCTTTTGCAATCAAATTCAAAATGAGCATTGGGTACTGTGAAAAAGTCTTGAGCCACTCCTGGGAAATACAGCAATGAAATGAAAATTTTTACAATTCTGAGTTTGAAAATCAGTATTCGGTATGGCCACCTCTGTTCCTCGATGCAGCCTGAACTCTATTAGGCAAACCTTCTTGTAGTTTTAAGTAGCTTTCAATGATTGTTTTTTAAAGGTTGGCTGTCATTTATTCTATTCTCCATCAAAACAGTCTATTAATTTTGTTCTATTATGTGTTTTTCTATGAAGATATACTTTTTCTGCATTGACAGTGTGTTTGGGAACATTTTCATGCAGTAAAATTTTGTCATTTGCCCTGTGTTGACTACTGGAAATGATTCAGGTGTAACTCACACTGGTTAATGATGTCTGTCTTTCATGTACACGCTGTAGTTACAGAGTATTGTATTGTTGGTACTGTATTGTCACATCTATGATCTCTGTGAATCCTCTCTACAGGAGAAAATCCATCTGAGGACCTGGGAACAAAGTCATGCTTTGGTATGCCAGACAGAATCCAGCGTTCGCCATCAGCAAAGGCAGTGTGGAAAGTGGAGCTAGAGAAGGGATCCAACCCACCAACAGGCTCCTTGAATTTGACCATTACCCCCCCAGCTGACACTCCAATCGGAAAGTACAACTTAACTGCCAGACATAGGGATGAGGAAATATTGTTGGCAGAACTGGTTGTGCTCTTCAATCCCTGGTGTTCTGGTAAGTTATCTTTCTATCTGCCGACCTGTTTTCCAGGCTCTCCAGCACTGTTCATCTGTTGCTGTTGTTTTGCTTAAAACCACTATTATCCATCCATTAATCTGTCTGTCTCATGTGGTTATCCCTATTCCCGCCTCTGTAGATGATTCAGTGTTTATGCAGGATGAGAAAGAGAGACAGGAGTTTGTGATGAATGAACGTGGTATAATCTACAAAGGAAGTGGGAACTACATCACATCTATTAACTGGGACTTTGGGCAGGTACAAACACACACACACTGTGTAGGCTTAGTGGATTTGTGATTCTAGGTTTGATAAATCGAAACCGAAAAGTACCACATTAATCATGTTTTTACCAATCAGTCTTTTATTCTAAGAGTTCTATTGTTCAGTATGGTAGAGGCGCAAAAAAGATGGTCACTGTTAATGGCTTGTAGGTGTAACTCCTTAATCGGAGAGACATATATTTATATGGTGTGAGACTACTGTAGGTCATTATTAACATGCTATTATGAAGTATAGACTAGTGACATTTTTAGATATTAGCTGCTTCAAGTTAATATTTTACTTTAGAATTAATTAGTTAATGTAAATGCTTCGATTATTTTTGACTTTGCCATTAAGTACGAATAACCTAGAGCACTGTAGTTTAAGATAAGCTGCTCTCTTCCTGTCTAGTTTGAAGAGGACATGATGAAGATTTGTCTTAAGATGTTAGATGTCAACCCCAAACACCTGGCAAATGCAGCTAATGACGTTTCTGCTCGCTGTAACCCCATCTACGTCAGCCGTGTGGTCAGCGCCATGGTAGGATATTTATGTATATAACATGTGTTTTGGACAGATGTACTGTATTTGCACTGCAAGTTTCACCAAGAAGGTAATTTAAAGCATTTTACATAACGTTTAAAAGGCATCATAAACAAAATAACACATTAATTATAAAGCATTACTATAAAGCATTAATTAACAAAACCTTTTGTTAATTAATGCTTTATAGTAATTTTGAGGGGAGCCAAAGCTCACTCACTCACTCACCTTTGTTTTCCTGTTTTGCTCCAGATCAACAGTATTGATGACTGTGGTGTCCTGGAGGGACGGTGGTCAGCTCCATTCTGGGGTGGAACTATACCCTCTCACTGGTCTGGCAGCTATCCCATCCTCAAACGTTGGTATAACATCGGCTGCCACCCAGTCAAATATGGACAGTGCTGGGTATTTGCAGGAGTGATGTGTTCAGGTACTGACTAACTCTGCAAGTCCTCACTTACATACAGTATCTATTTTGGTGGGTAATATGAATACATACCTAAATATCTGTTATATATACAGTATGTGTTTAGGCAAGTGAAATGAGAAATAAGAAATAAGCTGCCTTATATGGCAGGTGCTTTAGTTTACGTACATTATCAACTTTGCTGGGTATACCTGATGTTTATTCATCCAAATATTTAATCAGCCAATCACAGGGCAACAACTCAAAAACTTAATGGCCTATAGACATGGCGAAGGTGCTCTGCGATAGACTGGAAACCTTCACAGGGTGTACCCTGCCTCTCACTCTATGGCAGGTGGGGTAGGCTCCAGCCCCCCAGCGACCCTGAATCAGATAAGCAAAGGAGAAAGGATGGCTGGATGGACATGGTAAGGAAGACCTGCTAAAGTTCAAACTGCATCAGAATTGGGGAGAAAGGTTGTATCACCTGGATGACTGAGAACCTTCACATTTAAGTGACTTTAAATGTTACGTGGTTGATCCTACCAGTCGGCTGGTCTGAGTATTTCAAAAACTGCTGATCTACTGGAATGTTTTTTCACAAACATTTCTAAGGTTTAAAGTCCTTAAAAGAGAAACTCAATAAGCAGCAGTTTTCTGGGTGAAAATGCCTTGTTGATGATAGCCGTCAGAGGATAATGGCTTCAAGCTAATAACAGGGAAAAAATAACTCAAATAACCACTCACTACAATACAACTATGCAGAGACCTAAAGTGTAGAAACTATAAGTATAACATAAGCAGAAAACCATAAAGAGAACTAGACCCATGAGCAACAATAAATCAAAGAATATTAATTAAACCTGAAACACATGCGATATGACATCTGTCCTCGTTTGTATCAACGGTTCTGGCTGGTACTTGTGGAGCAATGGTGTCTGGGATATTTTCTTTGCAGACTTTGTCCAATTTACCAACTGAGCATCATTTAAATGCCACAGCCTACCTGAGGGTAGCCACTGACCATGTCCCTTGCTATATGACCACAGTGGATTAGAACAGTTCTGAATTTCTGAGGAATGTCTCTGTCATTTTGTTGAATATATGTATGAAGAATAAAGGCAATTGTGGAGGCAAAAGGGTCCTACCAAGGTATATGTACCAAAGTCTCAAGTTTGTTTACAATTGCCAATTTTCTAGTGCTAATATAGGATTACACTAAAAGTCTGGTAAGCCATAGCTTTAGTGGTTTACTGATTTGTCTTTTCCTTACTTATAACTTTCCATCACTAGGCCAGTGCAACAACATTTAACAATAAGATGCTAAACTAATGTACAATTTGACAAATATCACATTTTTTTAAAATCTGTTTTTTTAATGTTTGTATTTCCAGTAATGCGTCTGCTGGGCATCCCATGCCGTGTGGTCACCAACTACCAGTCAGCTCACGACAGCAACAAGAATCTGATCATTGATGTGTACCATGCTGACTATGGAGTGAGAGAGAAAGAGACCAAGGACAGTGTCTGGTAAGATGACACAAGCTCATATGGCTTATATTGAGAAAGCAAACAGAGAGAGGTACAGATCAGAACTAAATTCTGTGGTAAAGAGTTGAACAGTTCCTTTGTACACACACACACACAGAGGGAGAGAGAAAGTTTCCCTGAGCATTGTACAGTCTTAGTTTCTCACAGAACTAAATAAGGTTAATTTATAAAACAGAGAGGCACTATACAACAAACCTGAAGTCTTCTTGGTCTCTTCCAAGAGTTCCAAAATAAAGCGAAATATAACAAAATAAAAATAAAGGGTTTTTTAAAATTTTCTATAATTTATCCAATTGTTTTTCAATGGTTTTGGAAAAACAAACACCAGAAATGCTATAGAGCTACATGGTTGACTTTCAAAAGGTTTTTCTGTTTTTTTCTGTTTTATTAGTACTCAACCACCATCTTGTTCTTGATATGTCAGACTGCATAAAAGAGGACAAATGAAATTGTGTCCAAAAGTCTAAAAGGCTTTTAATCTTCACTGTGGTTTTACAAAGTATGTCTTGTGTGCTTTGGGAGTGGTGACTTTGTCTGGAAGCTTTTAATCTGTCAATAGAAAGAATGTCCTTAGTGTGATTTATGGTGCCATTTCTCAAGCTTAGGGTAGGGTTGGGTGTTTACCTTACAATATAAAGTTCCTTGATTCAACTGTTGTTGTGATTTGGTGCTATATAAATAAAATTCAATTGAAGTGAAGTGAATCACCCAGCCTTCTTTGCCATGTTCTCGAGTTTTTAAAGCCACTGTTGTGTTTCCACTGACTCCAACATCAGAATCTTGTGTCATGTTTATGTTTCAGGAACTATCATGTCTGGTTAGAGTGCTGGATGAGGCGAACTGACCTGGGAAAAGATGGTAAATATGACGGCTGGCAAGTTCTGGATCCAACGCCACAGGAGAAGAGCGATGGTACGAACTCTTGTCTCCTCAGTTTTTCTTCCTTTGTCTAATGACTTTTCTTTTCCTACTTTAACTATTCATTTTTTGCCAGTAAATATACCAACAATTTTTAAGTATTGTTTTTGAATGTGATATTCGATTGTGTGATTTCTTTTCATCTAGTGCTGTTAGTGATGGCAGCTCCATGGTTAGAAAGTTCCATATTTAGTGCCATGAAGTTAGAATAAAAACTACTCTGTATTAGTAAAGCATGTTTCTTTATTTAATGTTCATCCGATGGCTTTTCTTGCTTGTCCTTTTGCAGGTGCATACTGCTGCGGTCCAGCCTCAGTCAAAGCCATCCTGAATGGAGAAACCGATCTAAAATATGATGCCCCATTTGTTTATGCTATGGTCAATGCTGACTGCATTGACTGGCTGGTTAGTGAACAGAGCTGTACTATATAAATCCACAAATAACATAGTTAGCAGCACCAAAAGAGGAGCAGCCTTTAGTATAATAGCAATATTTATTATTTCAAATTTTGGTTTCTATCGTGTTTCTTTCTTTGTGTCCTGGCAGTGTAAAGCTGATGGCACAATGGTGAATATTTTCTCTGACACCAAGAGAATCGGACAGAATATCTCCACCAAGGCTGTTGGCTCCAACACAAGGCTGGACATCACAGACAGCTACAAGTACAAGGAAGGTGGGTTCACCTAAAAGACGTGTTTCTTGAAGACTTAAATGGAGAATTTTGTTCTTTACCATCCTGATATTATGAAAGTAGATCTCACAAGGGACATGACACTGGTAATGATTTGTCAGTCAGAAGTTACCACTGTTATACCACCCCTATTTATAAAATGAGCATTTTGATGTGTCACATAAATTCTGAAATGAGCATGTGAGACCAAAATGTTAATTAAGGTCACAGATCAACAGAGTGGTAGTGTAAAAAAAAAAAGTCCTTTATTTATCCAGGTAAAAAATCTCATTGAGATTAAAAATCTAATTTCCAAGAGAGACCTGGCATCATGGCAACAAAAATTAAAATTCATGAACAGAACAGGATGTTGCATCCGCCTTTTTATATACAGTCCATTGTGCTAAGTTAGGCTGTCTTTGGTTCTTTGAATGACAGATAGTATTTGGTTTTAAAAAATGCTATATAAACCTTGTTTTAATGGTTCACTAGCGATCTGCAAAGAGATTGCAAATAAAAATGGGTTTGGTGACTGTGTTCTCTGTTTTCTGATACTAATAAGAAGGTTAAATAAAACGTTTTGGTCAAGACATAGTAGAAATTCTTTAACAAAATTAATTTTCACTCTCACTCTAAAACTTTCCACTCTTACAGGGTCTAATGAGGAGAGAACTGTATTTAGATATGCCCTCACCAGAGATTACTCCAGAGATGAAGAGGAAAAGAACAATAGAGGGACAAATAATCCAATCCAGAATGGAGGAACAACAAGTGGAACTGGGAATGGAGG